ATATTTTTTTTATCATCCTGCACCTCAGCCAGATACCGCGGTGGATGTGTGATAGCTAAGTCCCCAAATTAATGCATTATCTTCTCACTGGGGCTCCTTCATGGCCAGTGGCGTGCACGTCTTCTGTACAGCATCTAAAATATAAGATAATCATTCAGATGCAACACACTTTCGGTACCCAACTGCCATACAACCCGGAAGAAGCACGAAGACTGGGATACTGCCAGGTTGCCCAAGCCTAGACAGGGGAAGTCGAGAGGCAGTGGTCGGGTTCGAACCACGGACCTTCCGGTCAGTAAATTCACGCTCTAGCCAGTGAGCCATCTCGTCCCAAAGTCAGTGTACAGCATATGGTCTGCAGTATTTGTAATGACAATACCCTGGGGCTGATTGCGCTCACGTAGCGAATTGGATGCGAAAGATGAGTCATACTACGATGTCATTATTTACTCAGTGCTAGGATCGGATTTGGGAGTCGTGCTGTGTACACAACCTGATCAACTATGATACCCTGGTTAATTTGTGATAAGGTACTCAGGTTGTGTTGACACGACTGAAAATGGTATTCTCTCAGGGCTGTTGAAGCGTAGTTTCTCTTTGTTTCTCACTCTCACTCACAGTAATTGGATCGGCTAGATTGTGCGTATTACTACGTTTGCTTTTGTGAAATCACAAGGAAGAAAAAAATGGTTCGTGATTTTGGTTGCTCCACCCTGTAAATCGTATTGATTGCACTACAACAAACCGTTTCCTTGAGATTGCACATCGCCGCTTCCCTTCCACTACTCTTTAGCTTGCATTCCGACTGAAGAGAGTTCAACATAGCAGAGGAAGGCGAACAATTCCCTTTCACCACATTGATGTCCCGGGGATAGAACCACACTCAAACGAGCCCCTCGGGGTTCAGTTTCCGTTCTGCCTACGTGCAACATTTCAGGGAGCCGTGTACATACATAACAGGTTTGCCTAAGGGAAGAGCTCATATCCATGTGCTTCAGGAACTGGTAGATCTTGAAGCAATGAGTCCTTTTCAGCCGTGTCATGTTGATGATGAGCTGAGAAACCAGTACCCCACCTTTTTCACTAAAATTCAAAGTGAAAACAACAGTTTTCGTATTGATGATGCACAGACTTACAGATCAGATGGTAAGGGGCGATCGTAATGGGTGATTCGTAAAACGGAGCGCTATCAGCCAGCATGCGCTGTGCGGTGAAGCTGGTGGATTTTCGAATTCCATTATTGTCTAGCGGTTCTCGTGCCAGGCGAGAGGGCGTCCCGAAGGAAGACACGTAATGTAGGTGAAAAAGCCGAGATATTTCGCCCTTATCCCGAATGCAGTTTGGCCTTCAGCCATCAGCCATATTCAACGTTGGTTTTTCCTACACCGTCGATGATGATGATGAATACACCGTAAATACACTTTGTCATTCGTACACCCTACATTGATCTTCCCTTAGAAGGAACACCTGTGGGGTCGTAAGCGAAGCTAATCCGAGAAGTCCTCGGCCCTTTTAAGCCTAAATATTCACGAAAATCCTACCACGGGATTGTTCTTTCATAAGATGAACGGAATTAACACTACTCATAAGGTCGACGATAACTCTGAACAGTTCACCATTGGTTTTGCCCTTTTCGGAGCCCATCGGGCAGGCCTAGTCGCTGAATCTCCGTAATCCTTTTCCCATACTTAAACACCAAAATATGTGTGTGTGTTGTGATAGAAGCTTATTTGCTGGTGTTCACGGAAAACTCAGCTGTTATTCATCGGAATCTCTTAGCCTGAATTCGAATTCTGCAGGTCGGTTTCAGCATTGTTCATGAGAAGACTTGTATTACACTGCCACTCACTACATCATCAGCATCATCGACAGCGTGACATCGGCGTTCAACACCGGTGCTTCGTTGCCGCACAACCATTTATTTCAAAGTCCTATTGTGAAGAAAATAATAAAGATGGATGGGGAAGGGATTAAGTGCTAGCTTACTACAGTCATTCCAGGCTTCCTACACCTCCAAACAGTCATTCAGGCAATCTGTATAGAAACTGACAACAAGAACGCCACTGACATCGGTTGGCAGCCTTATCTTGCAGCGTCTCCAACCAGGCGCAGTGAAGATCACGCGGTCCCCATCCTAGAAGGCGAGTAGCACCGACAGCATCCGAACGTTTCGTGATTTCTTTCATACCTCCATGCTAGGTCAAGGGTTGGCCACCTCTCCTCTTCCGCCAATCTGAATTGGGAATGGAAAACAACACTGTCTTCGGCAAACGATGGTTAGGAATACGCAACACATGTCTCAACCAACGCAGCTTATGGTGCTCCACTCACTAGGCACCACTGCGCTATTCAGTTTTGTTAAATTCATTTTTTATAGCCACAAATCATGTCGGGTATACAGGCCGAATGATGAAATTTATGAAGGAATGTTTTCACTTGTGAAACCTAGCTTAGAAGGTTACAGACCAAATTGTGCCTGTCCATTGTGGGTCTACCGCTCATCGCTCGTACTTCCACCCATTTTGCCTAGAACTTTCTCGCTCTATATGTCTACTGAGGCGTATCAAAGGATCCGGACATTAACAACACCGATATTTGTGTCCCACTGTATTTTCAACCCCGCCCTTACACTTTGGAAATAGGGGTTTGCCAGCAATTTTCGTATATCCTGTTTGGTTTCGTTGATACGCAACCTCCCTTTGGGATCATCAGCTTCGGGACGCAACAGTTAGTGATGTCTAATACGCACTCACATACCTGTGTCAGCTGATCGAACTGGAGCAGGATTTGGTTCGAGAATCGTCTGAATCCCTTGTTTGAAGTGTAGCAATGCAAAATAACTTGGATCCTACTCAATTTTCACTTAAACTTTCTCAGTTCGATGGCGTCATCCGATTGAGCCTTCCATACAACGCAGTTCACTTGATAACAAAAGAACTGTCAGGGAAAAGTTTAGGAACTAATGCTTTCATACTAGCAGGCAGATAATTTTATGCTAAGGACACGTGTTCGCTTACTGTATGTCATTACTTTCTTGTCTCATAATGTCGATTTGCCCGTGAAACGTTTTACCTTGATGTGTTTGATTTGGACGCAGTTACTGCTAGATAGGAGAGTATGTAATGTTTCTCTGGGACGCACACGGATTAGCGTGGACATGGATTTAATTCAGAACACGTGACTCAGTGTTATTCACTCCATAAGTACACTAGAAGAGTGGACGGAACTTCACCTCGTGCCACACCCAGCTTTTATGTACAAGGAGGATTGTGGTACTAATCAATGCCCCGCTCTGTCAGGTGTGTTAACTTCAGATCATTGTTAGAATGAAATGCTTTATCTTTGATACAAAACTGAGCTCTCTTGCTCTAGCTTTTTAAAGTGCAGTTTCGTTTCCGCTGCAGTATCCAAAAAAAAGCCGCAACTTCACTGGTGTATTCCTGCCTTCTGGAAAGCTTACATTTGGTTGGTCTTCTCAAATAGTTTCTTTAGAGGAGGGTTATCTTCTCGAAAATGGTCGTATAACTGCTCACCTCCCACGAGATTCATGAAATCCTATAAAGAAAACACAAGGGTAATTGGAATAGGTCGTATTTACAAAGCAGTTTTTTGCACAATAAGTGAATCTATTAGGCTACGCACTGCCGATGGGATTTTTTTTAGAAAAAATAAACAGCAGATTCTTCGGTATTAAAAAGGCCATCGTAGTCTCGAGCGGTCATGTTTAGGTATGTCCAAATGGTCATCTCTGAGAAGAAAGTGAGTTCTTTGTCCTAGGTAGAAGTTTTGTGAGGTCATAGTTTATCTCTAGACCACTTCCAGCATGCTTCTTAGTCCCATGCAAAAATAATTTTTCGTCCCGGGAAGTCACTGTCTATACCGGTCTATGCTTAAAATCTGCTATTCCACCGATTTCAACATCCGCCCCAAGGCCACACTTGATCGTGACTCGTCTGTGATTCGTCAATCTGGTTTGACAATCTACGATGAAATCCCAATGTAGCACGAATCAGTGTTTGTCATTGGAGAACTTCCAGTTTTATTCATTGCGTTAAGAACATAAACGAATGAAAAAACTGCTGTATCCGTTGACTTTTCGGCTCCCAATCTCTGTCATAAACTTTTGTGCACAGAATGGTGACAACCAGAACGAATTTTGTTAAGCCTTACAACTTTCACAAAGTTTCAGGTAGATAGCAGTTAGTACATCGTTGTGAATACTACGTCGCGTTTTTTGGCAGTTGAATTGATGATGGTACTTTCTTATTGTTACAAGTGTCGCCTCCATGTAAACATTCCGGACTTTTTCTCGCTGTGTTTTACGTCTACGTGCTGTCCAGCCTTTTAGGGTACCGAGGAATTTTTCTTTGATTGAGAGCTCATTAAAATAATTGAATCAGATGCGGTTTCTTCTATTTACTTACCAAATATTGTGCTTTCTGCAACGATTTCCAGCTTTGTCAGTTTATTTTTCAAACTCCTACTGGTCTCAAGCGCACACTTTATGCTATATCGCGTGGTTACGGTAGGGACAGTCAATCTGGCCCTCCTTCGGTCCCAATGATCCACCATTGGCAACCTGGTGGATGCCAACGACGGTTTGTGCAACAGTTCATGGGTGGAACATGAAAGGGCTTGGAGTACCATACATTGCCTTGTCGTTAAACCTGTGTTTGCTAGTTGAACAAGGTATCAGTCGTTGGTATTTCGGATACTTGTTAGTCCTCACTAGACGCAGACTCATTGTCACCTTCCAAATTGCCATTTATGGCAATCTCCTCGGTAGTTTGCTCCCGAATCTAATCTTTTTGTTGGGCAAACAGTTACTGGAACACGATTGTTTCATACCCTCACTCCTAATGGATTTAACCTCACTTCCTTGAATAACTTTTCCACATTTTACTACGATATCTCAATACCAAGTTAATCCTGTAGGCTTTCAACCCCTTGTCACGTTCAACCTATGGTTAACGCTTCATTCTACCGTATTCTTTTTTAAGGATCGCGTGGATCTTCCACCCAGGCTTCTGATTGCGATTGCTTTTCGATGAGGTCACAATCGATTTGGCGCAGTTCTCCGAATTTCACTGGGGATTCTGAACTGTTTCTACGACAGCCTCGTCTTCGATCAGTGAGTGGAAGTCACGATGCTCAGTCGACTGCCGAGGATCCTAGTGTTCATATCCATAAAACTGACCGGCATGAAGCTCATAATCCGCACACTAATCCTGTGGTAGCCGGCTCACAAGCTATGCTTTCCCAGTCCGGTTGTGAAGCATGGACTGCATCAAATGAATGTGGACTGGAGGCTGGTCGTCGACGAACTTTGAGTACTGGAGCTCAACCACGCCGTGCTCTATCCGGGATTCAGCTCATGACTAAGACAGATTTGGAACAGCCTTGTCAGTCTACTTGTCCAAGCTGCGGATTCGGCTTGAATACTTCCGAGACTAAACGACGCGAATGGATGAGCGGTGTGCGTGCGCTTACCTATTCGAAAACCGACTCTATTTGTTGTCCAATCGATGGTTGTGCTTATGTCTGTTATGGACGGGCAGATCTATCATCGCATCTGACGTGTAGTCACTTCCCTGAGGGTGAGCGCATTTCTTTCTGAAGATCTTTCGGTATTACTCTTTTTTGGTTATACTTCTCTCGGCTGGTTTCTGTTCCAAACCAAGGCATAGTACCTCGGGAAAAACGTTCTCTGTATGCAACTTAATCTGAACCTGACAAACCGTTTTGCTTACTTAGTCGGGGAGGGGTTGGTCACCGCTTGTGGAAATCCTTGTCAAGTTGTGTAATTCACATAAAGGGAAGCGGCACTGTGGAGTAAAGTGTAACTTCTGTTATTACTAAAAATACTGAGCGCAACAGTTGCTTCCCAGTCGTTTCTCTAATAGTTATACAACAGGCGATCACTTCAAGGTCTGTAGTCTGAGTTTAGCTTAGACTCATCCGACTTGGGTACTCTGTTCGTAGTTTTTCCATACATTTAACGATCGGTGTTGATTTCCATTTTTTCGCAAATCAGCGAGCCGTGTTATTGATGGGTGAATAACACTCAGCAATATGTAAGTGATGTTGCGAATTTGTCAGAGGTCTAATTCTTAGAAATGACGGTTGCTGGTTGGATGTACGTCATTTTATACTGGCTCCATTGGCACAATGAATTAAGCTTGTCGCCTCCAATACGTATTCAATTGATTCATTTTTATCTGTCTGTCATTTTTCTTCCCACTTAAGTGAAGACGTAATTGCTCAGTGTAGTTTTACGCTGCTCCGTTCTATCCCGCGCTGTTCCTCGCTATTCCAACACACGTTTTTGAGACACCTTGTCTGATCCCACTTTGTCCATCCCATCAGTGTCCTTCTAGCATACCATGTTCATCAAGGGAGGGATGATAAGCTGTAGGTGAGTGATGGTGTGAGGGTTGGCGGAAAGGGACGGTGAGGAACTACAGAAGTGTGTTTACTATCTGCTATAGTTGTTATCATGTCTGCTTATCAAAATACAGTTAGCCACCTTGTGTTATCAAATAAAACATTGCCCCTATTTTACTTTCTCATTTGGTACAGTTAAACTGTGAATCTCAGCTTGTCGTAAGTGGGTGTAAACAAATCGACCTCGTGTAAGGCCTTTTGTGCTACTACCAAAATACACCCACTCGTGCTTGTAGTCGTGCTCTCCAGCCATTGGTAGTCCATTGGGTGGACATGTTTACAAAGGCTTGCGCCAGATAAGACCTCCATAAGACCTCTGTGACTGCACCGATGCGTTAGAATGCAGGATAGTCAACAACAACAATAACAACGCCGAACCAAGTTTCTAACGTGTTTTATAAATTTTGCTATCGATAAGACTGAGCTTTTTGACGATTACCCCCATATGCAAATTAATTTGGTTTTAGCGGGAGGCTTCACTGGATTCCAGCTTAATCTCTCGCTTATGGTATTCTTTGACTGAATCTGTTGCAGACAGGCCGTCCCATGTTTCATTCGAAGTACCCCAATGTATTTTTCGGACAGAATACCACTCATAATGTTGAAGTGCTTTAAGCAGCCTTATGGGTAGCGTGTTCCGTGTTTTCAACTCCAAACCCTTGTTGAAGAAAGGTTTGTGCTGGACAGGCCATGACGTGGTAATGCGAAATGAAAGCGGCCACTGTTAACTTGAGCATTGTGGAATCTTCGCACCTTCCTGGTTTCGTTCCGCCTTACCCTGTTGTGTGACGAGCAGTAGATCTCACTGTCACTTAACCGGAGTACTCTCACTGTCCTGTGCTGGGTTTGTATTTGGTGAGGTTCCCAAGGGACTTTTGGTCAATCCTGTGTATGGCGTCTTGCTCTAACATTGTGTGGACACCTTGTTGTTGAACGTTTTCTCTGGAGACATGGTTTTGTACAATCAGTTCCCAACTCCCCTCCGTTTTCTCTCCTTATGAGGACCTTTCTCCCTGGTTGTATGGCGGTGAAGCATCAGATTCCACTGCTGGTGTATCGTGGTTTATGATTATGGTGATAATGGTGATGAGCGACGAAGACTCATTTATCACTTGGCTTGAACGCAAACGGTAATAGTGATTATTCTTAGTTCACTGTTTGAATCCTAGCCTTTTTATGATTATTATGATGTTTCGCAACAAACGTTGTCCATTTTACTCCCCACTTTTCCAGTCCAAAACCAATTGGTCCGGTTGATTTTCGCCTGCCCCGTCAAGGATTGTCATATGGTCTGCGCGGATGAAAAGAATTTTCAAGCGCACTTCAACCGCCATTTATTTGGCTACTTGCCCGGTGATTTGAGTGGACTCTTCCCTCCTGTCCCAGTTTCCTCAGTCTCCGAACATCCTGATGCACCCATACTCAAGCAGCAATCTCCTCTTCCCAACGCTGACATACAGCGTACTGACGTGGGTGTCTGCAGTCTGCCCCCGTCAGTGTGCTCTCCAAATGTCCGCATCGATCCTCCTCACACTTCTGTGCTAATGGAGCGTGAGCTCGAATCAACAACTTTGCCTATTCCTGATATTTTCCCAGCCTCCCAAAATCCATTGATCCCTGCAGAGCATGCCCTGAGCTCCCTAGCATCCTCACACACGTGCACTATGAGTCCGGTTTCAGAAAGGACAACTCTAGATTTGACTAAGCTTCATTCACCACCGGGTGTCGTTCATTTGAGGGACAGTATTCCACTGAACACCACTGATTTTATTGAGGTCGGTGTTGACTCTGACCGGGGTATGTCAACAGGCAAACAGCATACCGAGATTCATGACCAGATTTTGGCTGCCCCAACCATAGCAGGTGGTACTGATACTGGTGAGTCACTGCTAGGTTTCGTGTTTGAACATCTTCCTTTTGGAGTTTCTTCCATAGTATCTTTCCTAACATGCCATAATCTTTTTATTATCCACGATTGTCTTGTTTCCACTCTGTTTTTTTGTACTCACTTTCATCCCCTACTCATCTGCAGCGCCGTCGATCACTTGGACTCACGTGTTTTCTTGGTTGTGGTTCCTTGGAGCGTAGCTTGTTGTTTTAAATCGAAAAAACGTGATCACCAACATCTGAGAAATCGGGAGATGTTGTTGACCCTTGTTTGTGCACAGTTTTGTGGTTCCTGGTGATAGTTCTTGTACTTTCAGTAGATCCAGTGTGTGTGCAAGTGAACTGTGTGAACCCTAAAATTAATATAATCTGAGTCGTGTCACACTACACACCGCTGCAGATAGAAAGAAAGGTGCATATCACGTGTGAGTTCAATCGGCTTTAATCGGTGCAACCGTTTTGTAGAGTGTTTTGCTGGATACAGTGCGGTGTGTGGACTAATTGTGCTACGACATGTTTCGAACTACCCAGAGCACTTTCATGTTCGAACCAGAAGCCAAGGATTCTGTGTGATCAACTTTATGTTGAATGTTCAAAACCTCATGCTTCGAGGAAATTGTAACAACAAGTTGCATTGGCCGACACATCTCACTACAGGTTACTAAAGCCATCTGTCTTCGCGCGTCAAAATCCTCACTAGGGTCTTCAGAGTGTCTCCTTTTTTCCGCTGTTCATACATTGGAGGGTATTTCGGTTTGTTCTTAGTCTTGGGACCATCTCTGTTTACACGTAATTGATTTGCCGCAAAGACCCGCATTATATGTGGATCGCTACAAAACAGCGATGTTTCAACTCAGAATCCCGGTAGGTCGGATTCATATGTCAGTTAGCTGTCCTGTTGGAATACAGATATTTCACCGTGCACGTGTCTAATAGAACTTAACAATCAGGTCCACAGTGTTTACTTATGATTCGAGCGTGTTAACGGTCCCAGATCTCTTTATTGATAGGGTTACGCAATCGCCAAACTACCCATTGAACTTCTAACGTGGCTGCTGCCATGTCATCAACAGAATAAATCATATCAGAAGTCGAGCCTCTGATCCAATAGGTTAGATTGCCCCCTTAAGACTCTGAGATTCCCTCAAATACGAACCGTTGAGAACAGGGTGTGTGAATCCTCGGGACTATCTGCTTGAACTTTTTTCGTCGGCGTAGAGAACACTTCGCCGAAGCTTTATCCAAGGAACGCTACACACTCAAATTCGGACAGTTTTTCGTTTACCAAGGTCAGCGTTGGTTTCTTTCCATAAACTTACGACACCATAAGCGCGAGCTCTACGATTTTTTCAATCGAAACTATGGTTTCGATTACGATATACCAACTATCTTGTCGGTCCTGGTCGCACTAGCTTCAGTCACGTATCTAACAGATACATTTTCTTCGTTCACTGAGACAGTGTAAGACGAAAACCAGTTTGGCTTCCATGCACTTTCTCGTTCACTCATCTCTTCAGGCTAGGGTTTCTCCTTTTTCTTTCTAACTGCAAAGTCAATATTGCTCGGTATATTACCGTAGATAGATACACATAAATGTCATGCTAACTTTCTGTGTTCACCTTGGAGAGTCCCTCTGTGTGACGCTGAGCTATTTCGCATCCACTCACATATTTTTTAATATTATTCCCATATCTATCCGCCGAGTTATGGAACTAGGGTTCTCGGTGTATGTGTTACATTGTCCCATAAGGACATTAGAAATGGTTTACGCTACACAAATCTGTTGCAATCTGAGAAAAAAACAGGTGGCAGCATGAATCTTTCGTGCGCTTTACTTTTTATTGTACCTGGCTTTTTCATGGTACAATTGATCCGCCGTTTCAGTGCACCAGTTCAACTTAGAAGCATTTTACTTTGACTTTCTTCTGTTGTGGCTGTTCTATCCAGACTGTTGTTCGGCTTTCCCGTTTTTCTCTGGTCACGTTTATCGACGGTGGTCGATCACCGAGGAATAGATGTGTCTAGAACACTGTCGGGCGATTACTAAGCCTGATCGACTTCCCCTCTCCTGATCCCTTACTTTCGAACATGGGGATAACTATTCAGTTTAAAAATGAGGCAACCATGTGATCATATGTTGCGTTCAAATTTTAGCATTTTGCAAACTACTGCTATTTTTGCAGCCAAATGTGTGTGTGAAACCAACCACTGAGCGTTTACTACGATCCTTTCCTGCGTATGCCCATAAACATGCATTCCATAACACATCGTTCAAACGGCGTCACGGAGAAAGAGAGGTATTTGGCTTGGGGAGTTCGCAAACTAAGTTGTGGATGATAGGAACACTATTCTAGAGTGATCTTCCTTTGGAGATTAGTCTCCAAGATGAGCCGAATACCGGAAACGAACTAGCTGTGTTCACTTGATCGGTACTGTTTTGTTTATTCTGAGTGTGCGATGCCCTATACTCATATAGCCGTTGTCTCGTACTACAAAGGTGGGCGGTGTATTGTTTCCAGGTTATCTACGAGACAATGCCCATCCCTAGATTAACAATCTGAGCTGGCAGTGCTTAACTTATTTCCTCCCGGCAACCATAGAAGTTTAGCTCTGTAAAGCCCTCGTTGTAGCTCACAACAAACAGCTTGTGTGACGCAGTAGGAACGTGCATTTCCCATGCTCCTGATATTGTTGTATGTTTATTTGGTGATATGAGGAATAGCTGGACGATCATTAATGCGTTTGCGGTCGTAAAACAAAATCGCCAATCCTCGTTCGTGGATAGCGGAATGCACAGTTCCTGTAATAGCCGGAAGGGCTCATCGCTGGTAAGAAATTCCTAACTGTAATCAACAGCTTCATCCGGAATAGCTTGAGGCTGTCTAAAATCGCCATAAACATGTCTTGGTCATGACACTTCTGTGAAGTAGTGTCTAATACCGACTGCCACAGCAAAAATAGTTTCAAATTAGTTACATTTACACGAGATCGTTGAAGGTAGTTCAATTGGTCCAGTGAATATTCTATTCAGTAGACAAATTCACGAACAACACAGTTCTGTGGTCGTGGAATTAGCAGATCTCGCACATTATTCGCCAGCCGAACAACACATCTGTACTGTATTCCAAACCAACATAGTCATAGTGACTCGAGGAATTCCGAAGTTCCTGTTTGTAAGCTGAAGCTGTACTGAACATAGTTCCTTGAAGCCCTTTCATACTTGTGTGATACCTTGTGGTATGTATGACCGTGACTTCGTTATTTACGGTACGCTCATTTTTCAGTTGTTCTTTGACCAACTGTGGTTTCACTCTTCCTCAATAGCTCACATGGATTTGACCGATCACCGGAATCTGATATCAGCACTCGATTTAATACCGGATGATATTCTAATGGAACTACTCAAAGAAGATCGTCCAGGCTTGTGGGGTGATGGAGTCGCACCAAACATTGCGATGTATTCAGCTCCACATACGTGGGATTCGCCTACCTATGCACAAGAAGGTTTACACAATCTTCCTTCTCCGCGGCTGAAGGCTGATTGTGTAGATGACTTCGCTGAAGACGCAGAGCAATCAGACGTGAGTGGTACAGCAGGGATGTGCGACTCCGTCTCAGTTGTTCAGCCGTTTGCTAGTGAATCGGTCAATCAGCCTTATCCTGACGACTCTCGAAACAGTTCACCAGCTCTGAATTGCAATAGCTGGGTTCCATCCCCCGTAGTTCACCAAACATGGTCTTTGGCTGTCGCTAACGAACGCCCTTTGAACTCAACGACGTCAGAAGCGGACTATTCCATCCATTCTAAATGCGAAGACTATGCCTATGACTGTCCTCGTCACGTGTTGTCCGACTTGACCGCCGCACTAATCCTACCCGATGTTGAAAGGCGACTGAAAGCATCCATTTCTACTGATGGGTGGACTGGTACGCCCGTCGCTCCAGCCACAACGCCACGGTCAACTGCTTCCGAATCAGTGGTTGACCTTGGTTTCCGCAGTGGAAGACAGGCGTGGTGTTCCGGTAAACGACGGCGCAATGCGTCTGAATCCTCGCCAACTGGTGTATTTCGACAAACTGCTATTTCTTCAGTTGGGAACCAGAATCTGCCGGTCAAAACTGGCAAGCAGTTAACGGAAACGGATGTGACGGTGCCCAATGGAGACTCACCCCACTCTCCGGGACAGACTGAAGTGAGTTGTATATCTATCCTGGAACCTCCGGTACCTGTACTCATATCGAAAGGACTGGTAAGCCAGTTCGATTCATTCTTTCCGTGTCTTAGCATCTCACCAAGTTACGGAAAAACCTCTGTCGTACAGGGTCATATAGTTTTCAAGAGAAATATCATGCTCTAACTTTACTGACGTAACAAACAACTAGGTGTGATATTTGCTTTTCTCAACTCACTTTACCTCAAATCTCGGCTTTACACGGGAAATCCAAACGAACAGCTGTGTTAACGAAAGTACCAAAGATATATCAGCTTCCGTCCGGTAGAATACAAATGGTACGCACGTCATTTCACACAGCCCGATGGGCTGCTACTGTGGCAAAGCAAGCAGAAACAGGAGACGTCACAGCAATGAGTATCCACTCAAGCGAGTCTGGTACGTCATCATCATCATCATTGTCAGCTGTAATAACCGCGTGCTTGTCGTACGGTGGTTGTAGCTGCCACAATTTCGTTCGATGATTCGGGGAGGTGGGGTAGGTAGCTGCGAACTGGAGGCGGGAGCTGATAAATTAGTGCGTAAATACAGTACTCTAGGTGGACTGTTAAGTGGGGGCACGTGGCGCAACTAAGATTGTTGTTGCAAACGAGGAGCACGCCTTTACCGCTAAGCGAAAAGCGTTGAGAGGTTCTCTCAGCACCAGATTGTGTGTACTCATTCGCAGTTGCAGTGGAAGAACGCAGGCTTGAAACGCAAGCCAAGGATCATGTACCTCAATATGTCTGTCTTACGTGTGATGGGCCTGAACAGGGCCACCGTGATCGTTCGTAATTCAGCTTTATCGACTGTCAGACACCTAATTCACCCGGATCATGTCATTCATACCAACACTTTCTTCAAAGTAACCACAAGTCGTTGGCCCTGTTTTAGTTGTAGAGCATAGGCTGAGGAGGACTGACTTGTTTACCAAATGTGTTATGGTCAGTTCGAAACTATTTTTCATCAGATCTCATTGGGTTCGCCCCCTGTGAGTTGGTCGACTCGCAACGGTTGACCATGTTTTTACTGAAGTATTTTCTCTTCTGCTAACCTCAGCGCCTCATATTGGTTCCAACGGTTTATTTGTCCTCATCATTTTAGGTAACATTAGTAGTTTGATCTCACCGAATTTTTGAGATGTGACACTAGGTCCACACTCAGAATAGGTTGGAACATTCGTGGCAATTCTAAAAGTGAGGAAGCCCGTAACGTAAGGTCCCAATTACATTTTCCATGCGTTGATGCAGCTTCGACTGATTTAGGCACCGCATTTCTTAACCTTCTTGTTTTTTTGTGGTTCTTAGTTTCTCCAAAAATGACTGTATTTCGAACCCTATTTTCCGCGCTTCTTTGTGCACCTGTAATTAGGGCAGGCATTTAACCTGTGGTAGGAAAAAGTACTTGATTCATGCTTTCCGGTTGCTATCTGATGCTGTCGTCTTTTACGGCACTGAGCTTGTACTCGTTCAGCCGTAGCACCCTTTCGATGCCTACTGCCATGCCGCCGGAAGAAAACACAACAGTTGGGATGCTGCCAGGTTGCCCAAGTCTAGACAGGGGAAGTTGAGAGGCAGGGGACGGGTCGAACCACGCCACGGCCCTTCCGGTCAGTAAATTCGGGCTCTACCTCGCTTCCGAACTTGTACTGCCCCTGATGAAACAGTTTTCAACCATCCACACTGTGGTCTGGGAATTGTTGAAACTGTCAATCTTTTACCAAGGTCGCTGCACATTTGATTCTATGAAGTCCCGGTCCGTCTTTAAATTGTTCGACTCTGCGTCAGTGCGAACTCTTTTCCAATGCTTACTGCATTTGGAGTATAGGTTCCGCAACAGTTTTCAATTTACTTCAACTCCACTCGTTTTGCGTTCACACTGACTTTCTACTCAAAACCTTTCATATTCCTTAGGTTACTGGTGACGCGCGGTTCATGAATGGCCACACTCCTTTCATCAAAAACTCCCACGCTCCTTCTCATGGGAAGAACGTGACATCTCTCAAAAACAAAACTGTCCACACGAAGGCAACTTTTTATGCGGATACGGAAGATCTTCCAGCTAGGCACGATCCATTGGTGAACTATGCTGGTACTTGGACTTCAGAAGCCAATCAAACCTATTGTCTATCACCCAAGCATCCGGGTGTCGAACCGAAGAAACGTCGTCGCAAATTGCACAAAGTTATGACTGTTGACTCTGACAGTCATCTACCCGTAGCACGTATACCTTCTGCGAGAAATTCTAGTCCACAGTTATCAATACCCCACCCCATATTGTCTCGAAGACATTCCCTTCTATACTTCAGTCTGGTGAATTCCGCTGACTCGCCACCCTAACACACAACTGTATTTTTCAATTTTATCAAATAACTACGGGGCGAAAGTTTGACGCCACGCAGTTTTGTCACCAAAACAACTTATCATTCAAAACAACATTCTGTGTTCGAACGATGTAAACCATATTAATTTGTTCTTTTGTGATTGTATCGCCCGTGCATCCCGGTTGTTAAGCTGGAAATCGCTAAGAAAGCCTGGCGATGGCTCCACATGAATGTACCTTTCGGATTGTGTAGATGCCTTATTCATATTCCTAGCCCTGTAAATAGCACCTTCATCTGACCGAATTTTTCGCTCCTCCCGTTTTGTTGCTTGTTTCCCTAACGCTGACGAAATTAGCTTTTTGTCTTGTGCTTCCTGTTGGTTTCGTTTTTTTTCACTGTCACTTTGTTTCCTGATCATTGTTGATCGTACTGGTTGCATTTGATTTACACTCTTTGATCTTGCTACCTCATGTTTCCTGTGAAACAACATCCGTTTTTTGGTTTCACGTGATTATAACTTGGATACGTATCAGTGTATCTAGTCTGGTTAACGAAAATCTCATCGGAAACTTTGTTGGTTTGCTACTAGACTGTCATCGGCAAAACTACCGATGATGTTTATTGCATTTTGTGTATATATTCTCTCCAATCGGCCTTTTGTTTTTTTCTGTATTAGTTGTGACTGATGAGCCTCAATAGTTGTACCTGTCTTCTCGCTGCAACGATTCAGTAAATGTATTGTTGTGTTGCGTCGTTTCACACCTGGTGACGGATCCTGTTTTCTTTTCCCATCGATTCGGCACTGTCCTCGAAGATTCCTTACCAGTAGCGGTACACTATTAGTCTATGGCGGTCTTTAACTGTCTTATAAGCATGTGGGAAAGGCTATCCTAGTGAATATAAAGAAGATAGTATCAGGCGCGGTTCAACGGACACACTTGATGATATCCACTGGTTCAGATTTATGCACTGAACAGCATACATTCATGTCTTACTACCAGCAACGAAATATCTGTTTCTTCTGGTAAAAATAGAATATTACCAATAGGAAATTTACCTGCTCTGGATGTTGAAGAAACTGTCGTGGAGTCTTTTCCCTGCTTCGTATCATTCAGGAGAGTTTTTTTCCTTTCGGGTTTTACAACTGTCTAAAAAGGAAATCATTTTGACTTCAATTGTGAAGTTCGATAACACAACAGTGTTCACTGAGGGGAACTGCTTGTACTTTCTACCATTTCATTGTGGCAATCTTGAGTAAGAACGACAAAAGGGGTCCAGTACCTCGCGTAACCTGACCTTCCGACCTAAAGCTATCACCTTGTCCTGTGTTTCGGTGCTTCAGTGATCCCACTACACTACACTAACCATTCCATGAGGTCCAAAGGGGAACTGCGAGTAATCGAGCGGTCAGGGGTTAAAGTCATATTGCCCTCTGCGATAGGAGTGTGAAGACAATAAAGTATTTCCCTCAGGGACCGGCGTGTCCATCTTCATGGAGGCGGCAATGCTGCCTTCCCCTGAGGAAGGACGGGTTAGAAAACGTCATGATTAAAAATTGCACACTCCGATCGCTTAAAGATTAACGGTGGCTGCCAGCACATTATTCAATACAACTGAAATACTTTTAAAACCAAGTAGTTTGGTGCTACTCAAAATACACCTGCTGCGCGCAGCCGCATTAGGAGTGAGACAGTAATGCCCCACTCCTTGCGACCTCGGGTTAGGCTAACCCCTACAGCCGGGCAGGTCAGCCTTGAGTCATCGGCTCCGGGCAGGGTCCTCAAAGAAAAACCAACTGTTCGCTGCCTCGCGAGTATCTTAATCTAGCCCTCTTCTTCGGCTTGGGAAACCGGGAAGTATCACTCACCTTTGTAGCTCCTAGCTCACTTACCCTCCCCCACTCAATGAATGATGCAGCGTGATTAACCCATATGCCAGTCCCCTAGCTATTGTTCCGTGTGTGAACTATCTTCCAGGAAAGTAAACCAAAATAATAACTTACTGATCTCGAAATGTCCTATCCGCGTTTCAGCCTTCAAAGTCTGTACTCGATGTCAAATTAGGCAACAGACACCTCCTGCTGAAACTTCGCTTTCTTTTTGTTGATGTAAGTTGTGCCTCTGAAACACGCACATAAGACCCTACTTCGGCCCTTTACCTCAAGCCGCTTAGGACGAGCTCAGATATTCCACATTTCAACGCAACGGTTCGTGGTATCTACCGTATGGGAGCTCTCTACTAGACTCGATCCCATTAAACAGTCCTGGAGCTGTGCGGTTGTCTGAATCAATGATCAATGCAGGTCGATGCGGTAAACGGTGGTTATTTGTCGCATCACCGTACGCCTCGGTGCACCGGTTTTATCAAGGTATGTCGCGACTGCTTCGGTCAGCAAGAAGGACGGATATTGTAATCCTAGCGTACTAGGTGAATGTTCAAGTTGGCCGACTAAGTTCGGAAGAAACGCAGGTGGTAGATTTGAAATCGATGTTAAGCGTACGGATAATAGGGAGAGGCTGCTCCAGTTGTATTCTCAACATCGTGTGCCGAAGCGGTGCAACTTCATTCATCAGCTCCGACAATTTCAAGGAGCTTCAGGGAATCGAGTTGATCTGGCTAGAAAGCCACTGGATACTCACAGTCACGGTGATGAAGGTTGAATGGAAGCGATTTAAGAAAGCCATACTCAGGAACTACACTCAGTTGCAAATCAATTTGGTTTTCATGAGAATCAACTGAATCTCTCGTTTATGATATTTTACAACTGAATGTGCTGCACGCAGGTCGCCCCATGTTTCAGTTGGCACGATATTCGAGATATCGCAGTGTATTTTCAGCAACCTTGTGAGTAGTTGCCTTTGTGGAAAAGCCATACCAAGCTTTCAGAACTGTTTGTCCAAGCAGTCGGATTCCACTAAATGAACACTGGATATCATCGAGATCAGCGGATCTTGTTGCTGACAGAAAGGCCATAGCAGCAACTAGCGACTATGATAGGGCAGATCATTCAAACACCGGATAATCAGAAGCTAGGAGGATAGTCAACCCTGGTGGATTTCGAAGGCCCAAGAAATGTAGAAGACTTTCGGTGCGGGCAACAGCCGCGCCTCATTTTAGCTGATTCGATCAACCTGTCAAAAGGAGACAAGTGTCAACGAAACAATATACGAAATAAACGGGATGGCAATCCACTTACAAACTCGTCTTGAACAAGAGGCAAAACACTTCAGCACTACCACTGGCCTGAGTGGAACATTGACGCCAGTCCCGCTGTCAGCGACAGAAATCCAGTCTGATATATCAATCCCTCAACGCGATAAGACACCTGGTACGGATGGTCTGCACCCCGTGGCGAGGTCCTGGTAAGCAGTCTGATGATCATACTTCATAATATTTGGAATGGTAACAGAATGTCAGTGAACTGGGGCTCCTAGACCGTCCTCTTGGTCTTCAAAAAGGGCGTCATGCGAAAACTTAGCATCAGTCTCGTATCCGTCGCATCTAAAGTGATCTCTGGCTTTATTTTGCGTAGGTTGATCGATTATCGATGGAAACAGATTAGTGAGAACCAAGCTGGGTTCCGCCTTGGCGGAGGATGTGTCGGTCATATGTACTTTGAGACGGGTTTTTGGACAGTGCCACCCTCTCATAAGTCCCACGTTGGTCGATTTTATGGATCTGAAAGCTGCTTTTGACTCTACCGATCATCAGGAACTTTGGTGGTATCTAGCAATCAAGAATGTACCTCCCAACTTTATGTCCCTTATGAGGTTACTGTATGCGAATCCTTATGGATGCGTACAAGTATACAGGAAGCTTTCGTATGAGTTCATCACATCCAGTGGCCGACAGTAAGACAAGACTGACTTCTCTCATCTTTCCCCTTCAACCTTTTTATTGATATGCTGCTTGAAATTTCTCTGCCTGTCTCTGAAACCTCGGGGCTGAAAATGTTCCTGGGAAGCGTTCGCTTACAGAAATTGAGAATGCGGATGCCCTTGCTCTCCATCGTTCAGATTTTTCAAAAGTGCAAACCATTTTAAATAACCTAAATAACTTTGCCGCATGGTTTGGCATGCGCTTCACACCTACAAAGTGTAAAATGCTACTACATGTCTGGGTTGGATCAAATCAAAACCTCGTACTTGTAGACTAGCCAATCGATGTTGTAGATAAATTTGTCTACCTGGGCAGCTGTATACGTTCCGGTGCACCTTTTGTCAAACTCCAACACCAATAGCGCCAACGTGACGTGAGTCAATAGCAGAGTTTACACTGCGATCCATACTACTTTGTACGCGCAAGGGACATACGAAATGTGTCAGTGTTTGATCACCGTTGCCCACATCTACTGAAACTTCGGATTACATCATCTTATTCCGCTACACCGTTTTGACCTCGAACTTTCTGTATACTACGCCGCCTTATGCTCAACCCGGTTAACGAGATAATAGCCGAGTTTGGTCCAAAACTCCTAGGCTAACATTCTGCTTTAGATCAACTCTGCTCCTCGGCATTCAAGCAGCTGGATGTCCAATAGGCTTTGGTCATCTCTCAGCGGGCTTGGCAGTTCATTTGAACCCTACTGGCAGACATTGCTTTTGAAAACGCAACTTCTATTCCTTAGGAATGTCAAAAGTTGCTTAAGGACAACTTAGGTTATCAAACTTAGTAAAGGAGTTTGTCTTGACTAGTGACGCGGTTGCATCCCCATACCCTGTTTTCACCGTTCTGTTTCATTTAACGTACGTATTTTTGCATTCCAGCACTCTTGCCTTTCGTGACCGTATCGTAGTTCGTTAGGAAGTGTTGTGCTATGTCGGAGTGAAAACTGAGGGCTGATGCAGACTTTGGACGAATTTATCCCCACTCCTCCCTCCGATGATACTTTAGATCACTTTGTTCGGCTGGCACTTGCGATAGCTATGGCTATTCAGTTGTATTTCGTCTATTGGGCATTGTTTGGACTAGATCCAGCCGCCGATGGTCGAGTGAAATGTGACGATGGCTGCATCAGACCGAGCACCAAGCGTGACCGGAAACGCAAAGTTCGCTGAATCCTTCCAGTTCATAGTTCAATGCATTTTGGATATCCAAGAATGACCCCGTTAATTTTTGGTCATCCTAAACTCATGACAGACTTATCCCCGTTTAGCTTCTGTTCTCTGTTCATTTGACATCTAGTCCACTGTCTGCATGGCGTCACTGCTCTTCAGACAGAATCATTAATGGTAGCTCATGACATCACCCATCCATTTTCATGTTCTGTCACGAGGTGTATATGTTATTACTTGCTTTCTCACCTCCGTCTGCATCTCATTCATTTCAGTGCATAGCTTGTGACTGACTACTTCTCATATCAAGAATTGTTCCGGTGTAAAACCTATGGGGTTTCTAAAAGTCCTCATCAATTTGCCATTGTAAATATAATTACCACTAAACGGTGTTAGTGCTTCTGTTTCGTAGCAGCCGGAGGGAGGTTGGTGGAACCCTAGATGAGGGTTTTGGCACTAACTTCTGCAGTATGTTTTGGGGTGGGTTGAAAAAGTATATGAATGGTAGTGTTACCTTGACCTGGCCATTGTCAGGTGATTCGGCTCTACTGCTGTCCATGGCCAGTGATCCATAGATTCCATAGACGAAACATAAACCCTGACAACCAGTATCTGTCTTGACAGTTGATGTTCGAGTTTTCAGCTTTGGAACCTTCAAATTGGCTATCCTTCCAAACTCTGGTGTTTATTTCTTACA